CTTCTGACCGAGCCCTTGACGGGAGATAAGCAAGAAAGAGGGGAAAGAAAGAGGAAAGGAAGAAAATAAAGGAGTAAGGAAAGGAAGAAGGAGGCTTCGCGGTTGACAGATATTCTAAGATGCGCTACATACGAAGGCGGGGGAGGGGTAGAACCATGAACAGTCAATCACGAGAAAAAAATTCTTAATCCAGTTACGACCCCCTCCTCTGAGAGGGGCAAATACAACCCTTCTGAAAATGGGAGTTCCCCAACGCTGTGCATAGCGCGCATGAAAGAGTAAGAACCAACTAACAAATCAAGTTTTTCGGACAAAACACGAGCCCCTTTTCCCAGTGACCAAAAGCGACCACTCTATGGGGATTTTTCAGGGTACGATGTTTCCCGGTAACAATATAATAAAAACTGAGCATTTCTTCCTTACACCCAGCAAAACGGCTAGACATTCAGAGAATTTAAAAATATCTACTTGTGATGAGACCATCGAATGTGAACGGTAAATCAAGAGATAAATAAGAAAACTTTCACTAAGAAAAATGATCATGGAGAAATTAAACCTGTTGAAGCCATTTGATGTGTTCATCGTAAGCATTCTCCTCATCTCGCAACTGCGCCATTTCTGATTGTAAACTTTCGAGATGAGAAATCACACCAGGTTCATCTTCTTTTTCATCGGCTTTGAGCAAATCACCAGCTCTGCATGTAGGATGTTTGGGTAACAAGTAGACTGATAAGAACTGATTCACAACTTCGGGAATTTCAAGCTTACTTCCATTGTATAACATTTTTAGATTTCTTCTCAATGAGCCCAATCCCTTCCAAAACATTTGTTATATCGTAAATTCGCCTCTTTTGCCGGACGTTCAATGCCTCCGCTGCCTGAATCGCATGCATAAGAAGTTGAACTATTTAACAATCAGAAATGAGTATGAGCAATCACCTGATTCAAATCACAAATCCCGCCAGCAGAACACTCTAATAATCGTATAAATCGTTGGGTCAAAAGACCTAAGGACTTATCTGCCCGAGTTCCCATTTGAGGCTGATCGATGCCATCGTCCGCTTCTTCATCATATTCTGCTGAAAAAATCTTGCTGAGACAAATAACACGATTTTACATCTTCGGAGCATATCATGAGTTCTATCACGAGCAGTTTGACTTGGTGGGGGCCTTTTGCTGGCTCCCACCTATCACAGCCATGCCGCCAGGTGATCCTGCAGAGCCCTGTTAAGCGGAGCAGTACCATGAGCTTCGTTCGCCCTTGACAGGATTCTTTCTAAGATAAGGTAATTCAAGAGGAACCGTCAAAAGAAACCCGTGAAAGCGCAAAATGCCGTCCCCCTAAGCCGAACAGCGCATTCTGGTAATTTCTAAGATTGGACAAATTAAAACGTGTGTCTAGCCATAAGGTCTAGAAAACCCTGAATCGGATGTACGATATAATTTTTCAGCACCCATCCACTTTCTTGGTGCGCAATTGCTCAAAACGCCACTTCTCTCAAATCGCTGAATCGCTCAATCTCCCCAATCGCCAGATCGATTCCCATACTTTCCTCGTCGCACAATCACTCGAATCGCCGAGTTCCCCAAAGCGCCGCATCTACTCACTCGCAGAGTATGAACTGACCCAGAGGTTTTTCCTAAGACCGAGTATTGCTCCAGCACAGTGAGAGGGGCAAATAGTTGAATTTCCAGAAACCTGCTGCTGAGCAGGGTGTGAGGGTATAGCCTTCCAGTCAACCCCATGACACGAATGCAAAAAAAAACCAACGCCAAATACGACCCTGATCCTCTATAATGGAGAAATAGAACCCCATCCAGTTAATATAAGTAGGATGGAATTTCTCAAAAAGCCACAGTACTTCGCCTCGTGGCGGTACACACACAGACTTTGGCATTTCTGGCATATCAGACATTTCAAACTGGCCTAATCATGATAAAGGAATACTGGCTATTTTATCGAACATTCTCATGTTCCTGAGATATAGAAGTGGGAAGTATCGGGTCTTTTTGAACACACAAATAGTCGAGGACTGCGATAAAGCTTCACTCGCCTCATATAAAGATTGAACGAGGTTCCTGCGTAGAAAATGGCTACGGTGGTTTAAAAAAACCCACCCTACACATAGTCCCTTACACAACGTACAATAGACCTTAATTTCAAGCAATAATATGAACCAACCAGCAAAATCGACATCGATTTCCTCCAGGTGTTCGCCGTCTCCGACACTTCCGGTGTTGTTGGAGGAGGTTTGATTAGAAGTGCGGACTATGGCAAGTTTGCCGACGGATTCATTCGAATTTGAAGGAGTACTGTTCGGGCCGTGCAAGCTCATGACCGCAAGGGACGAAACTGGAAGCTCCTGAAGGCAACATTCTTCTGAACATTTGTAGAGTTCACCAATTCAAAACGAGAACTCTTCCCACCTAAACTGAGACTGACAACGGCGGCAATTTCAAATGCTGCCAAGTACTGCTCGTGGCGTTGGCTGCGCTGCCGCGGCTCGAGACGCTCGCGACACGACGTGATTTGGGGCGCGCCAGGTCGAAGGCAGCGCTCTAGTTCACGCTGTTGTCGTTTTGTTGATGAGTGTGCTCAGTTCAGGAGATGAATACACCGAGGATGAACTGCTGCAAGTTTGTCAGGAGATGGGCTTACCCTTCGACCCCGAGAACATCGGTATTCTCAAAGAAGGTCAGGTTTACTGCTATCAGCTTTTGGCAAAATTTACAACTTGTTTTGTAGTGTCTTTGTGATGCAAGCAGCGGTGCTAACGTATTCGGGGGGGGGGGGGGCACGCGGCTCGCGGCGAGTGATGACTCATCGGCTCTTCTGCTCCCTCCTCGGCAAAATAGAAGTAATTTCATGTTTAGGACATGAATATAACACCGTCCTAGCTATATTCAAAAGTTAAAACAGTTAACGCTGAAAAATGCGAAGAAACAGTTGTAGGCTGGAAGATTATTGTTGATTAAAAAAGTTCAGACACTTTTGCAGCTT